GGGAAACCCCATCCCTGGTGAGTGCCTCCTGTGTCTGGCACAGAAAAATCCAGTACTGTACTGCAGATCTACTGAGATCTCCTTGAAAAGCAACTTTGTGGATATAGTGCTTGCACTAGAGGAAGCCGCTCCTAGGTAGCGCTTTTAGAGAACTTTATAGAGTCTCTTTAGCTTATTTTAACACTTACGTATTCTAAGTAGAAAGGAACAAACAGGAGGATCTTACCTTTCCTGTTTGACATGAGCACTGGGAATGTGCTTTGGTAGGTTGCCTGTTGATGTGTCAGAGGTGTTTTATATTTGTCTGCTAAACCAGTGGAAGACTATCTCTAGCATTTCTCCCAAGCTTGTGCGTCACCCACTCTGCTCAGGTGATGCTGTTCCTCTGCTGTAGGCTGGCTGGATATGAGGGATCTCCATTATTTGCATGGTCAGGAGGGGCAGCAAATCTGTACGTGTCAATACAAAAGAAACTGTTCCACTGCCTCCCTGTGAACTAACTAATGATTCAGTTTTGTGGAAGGAAAACTCCAGCAATAGCAACATCTGCAGAGTGTTTTTTTTCCCACAGTACAGGAAAGAAAAATGTGAAAGATAATTCCCCTTTCACCACTGCTTGGAGTTTCACAAGCAGGGCTTTGCTTGAGAAGAAGTTTTGTTTGAAACAAACAAGCTGTTTTTCTGTATTGTTCAAAGTGAAACATGAAAATCAATTGTGCTATCCACTTAGTGTTACTTTGATGTAAAAGGAAAGCATGTATTGAATGTGACTGGGCTCGAAAGGTTGTGATTTGTTAAGTAATTACAGTTAAGTTTTGTCTGTTTTAAACAGATCAGCTGTTACGGACTGCGAGTCAGCACTCTGACAGCAGCGGCTTCGCTGAGGACTCCTCCACAGATTGTTCTCCATTTAATCAGCTTCAGGTAAGGGGTGTTGATGTTTAACTGCTATCGTGACTGTCAATCTAGATCCTATAAAACTTCTCATTTTCGGAGCTGGACCTGCTGAGTCCCGTACAGAACTGTGTTAAAATTTGTAAGCCTTACTGGTAGGGTAATCTGGATATACTGGGGCCTGGAATAAACTCCTGTGTTCAGCATGTCCTGTTTACTGTTTCTGGTGTATCTTTTCTCAATGGTTGAAACTTCAGAATCATAGTTCATTCCTCTCGTGACTGCAGTGGTTTGAAAATGAGGTTATGAAAGATTATACCTTTTTTTGCTCATAATTGCATTTCTTGTATAATTTTTGCCTTTCCACTCTTTTTTTTTTTCTTTTTATTGCATATTCTTCTCTCTTTTTTTTTTTTCTTTTTTCTTTTTTTTCAGTTAGTGGCTGGCAGAAGGTGAGAACCATTTCATACTAACTTTACTATAAAGGTACACTAGTGTGTAGTTGAACCTGAGCTTCGACAATCTTTCTTTTTCCAGTTCCTTTGATCTCAATCCCAGAACTTGCCATGATATTGGCTGGAGACCTCATGTCTTAGAGGAACTTTTGTTCCAGCATAGTGTTTAAGTGTCTGCTCCATACACGCATTTACTCAGTGCTTACCTGATATTTAAGAGAGGTGGTCTCTTGCCTCTCCTCAAACTTCACACAGTAATAGACACGCTTTGCTTGGCCTGACAATCAGCTGGAGAAAACTCTTGAGTTAGATCCTGGCCTCAGGGCTATAGTTTAGATGTCTGGGACCTAAACCACGGCCCAGAGGAATGCAAAGATAGGGTTCTGGGTATCACCAGTTACTTCATTTCTGTGGCTTGCAGCTGCTGAACTTTTTTTTTTTTTTTTTTGGTGTGTGTGCTAATGTGTGTTTCTTTCCCTTGTGGCACACCAAACATTTTAAAAGCTGTTTGGCACTTACTAGGAAGAGATTCCCACCCTACCTCATCCATCAGTGTTGCTTTTCTGTTCTGGTACTGGTATTCTGTGCTTTCCAGGTGAGTAGTTTTTTGACTTAGTACCAAAAGGAAAGCCAAGACAGTGCTGGTCTTTGTGTGTCCCTTAAACATCAGCTTACACTTTCCAAGAGCAAGAGAGTGACTAAAGGAAATCATGATCATGAGTCTCTTTAATGAGCATGATAATCCAAGATACTGGTTCTGCTCTCTACCAAACCTGGGACTGCATTGAAGTTGACAGGCATGTTAGAAGGTGACTCAGATTAGAATTGTTCATTTCTGACCTTTATACTGGTTACGACCTGGTCAAGAGTAAATTAAAAGCGTGTTGCTACTAAGTGCCCCTTCAGTGTAAGATCAGTGGAGTTTATTTGTGTTGGCTGTAAAAGGATGAGATGTTTCTCCTTCCTATTATGTTGTTCTTAAAAAACGTATTGAGGTTGCACGAGGTTTGTGCCACAGAGTTGCTAGGCTCTCCTTCTACTTCAGTTGCCTTATTTAGACCAGGTGCTGAGCTGGATTCAGAAAATACTAGGGAAAATGAGAACTTGGCAGCTAGTGAAGAGAACCTGTGAAAAGATGAAGGGGATGCAGAGGGGTGTATATTGTTTCTTAAAAGTATGGTAAGTTAGTGCCATCTACTGTTAAGTAACTAACTCTAGCAGCCATAGCATTCTCCTGAAACTCAGGAGAAAACTCTAAAACTGGAACTGTATTACATCTCATTCCTGACACCCAAAATGAAGATCTCTAAGGGAGCTTTTGTCATTGAGATGTGATGTTCTGCAGGAGAGTTTCATGTTACCAAAGACTCCAAGTTCTTGAAGTTTTGCTTGCCTGGCTTGTAACTGAACACTGTGATGATTAAAGACATTGATGTGCACACATGTAGCACACTTAATTTCACCTAGACATTGCAATCTTTCATTCTTTTCATACCTTTGACTTGAACAGTATCTGAACCTGCACAGTCTTTCATACTAATTTGTGGCCGTGCCAGTAAGTACAATGTAAGTACTTACAAAGACTACCTTCATGACTGAAGTTTTCTTCTAGATGATTGGAGAAGGAACTATTGCCTGTAATACTAACACCATAAGTAATCTCTCTAGAAGAAACTAATAGTATCCTGATGGCTGGGAGAGCTGCAGAAATTAGAGATGCGAGAAGCTTCTCTAAATTTCTAGTTCATGTGTTGGCTATGGTCAGCCTCCAAGATTATACTTGATACCATGAAAACAAAAATGTCTTACTCACTTGCAGATATACCAGTCAATTGGGCCAGCCTGAGGAATATGCTTTGCAATCAAGAGATCTCTTTTTCTTTCTCATAGATGCTTTTCTTGTCATTTGTTACCTGTTAAGTTAGCAGCTACCTCATACATCTGCTCGACTTTAAACTGTGATTTAGAATGAAAAGGGGAAGAAATAATAGCAGAAAGGAAGGATGTGGGTAATAGTATTGGGTGCAGTTTTCAATAGAGATTAGCAGCTTAATGTGAGATTCTCAGTCTCAAACAATTCTGTGACTTAAAACAAGCCAAGTGTATGGACAGACTGGTTTTCCTATTCCTAGTGTTGTTCCAGGATACTGGTTAACACTACGGTCTGCAATTCCCCTCACTTCTCTGAATGCATTCTCTTATACCATCCTGCATTTCAGAGCTGACTGTGATCCTTTATCTATGGGGAATGCCTTGTACCTCTGGTTTCTTTGCTCTCCTTCACTCTTTTTCTTGCACACTAACTCTATTATTCTTTCTGCTCCTCACCACAATGCCCAATGAATATGGACTTGGACTCTTAGCCCATCTTCTGAGAAGGAAGTAGTTGAGTCTTCATTATGTTCACCACTTTGTTGGCTCATGTCTTTCCTAGGTTCAGGAGTCTTTGCAGGGCATGGGAAGCAGTGCTGACAGCTGTGACAGTGAGACAACCGTGACATCGCATAGTGAGGAACAGAAGACACCAATAGTTAAGGAACTGCCTTATTTTAATAAGTTTGAGGAGGAGGAAGATGATGATGAGGAGGATGATGATGATGATGATGATGATGAAGAGGAACTTATCTCTCAAGTAGAGGGATGGAAGGAAGAGACACCTTCCAGTAGCAGAAGGCATGAAGATAGAAAAATGATTAACTATGAACAAAATCAAGGAGGAGAAAGTAAGTCATCTCCTAAATCAGAGACAGTCCAAAGGGAGGTCAGCTCTAAAGAGGAAGACATTTCCAATGAGCAAAAACAATCAGAGATGCTGGAGGAAGGCAGTGTATTTGAGTTTCCTCAGTACCATACACACCATATCCTCAAGTCAATGGAGTCTCTGGAAGGTGGCAGCTCTTCCTCATCATCCGTGAACAAGGTTCATGTGGCCTTGCAGAGAGCTGAGATGAGGATCATCAGCACATCTGATTGCAGGGCTAGACGCCCTCTGCTTAAGTCAAAAGATCTCCTGAGGAAGCAGAGACTCTGGTTTGCTGACCCGGGCTATCCTCTAAGGCGATCTCAGTCTCTCCCAACTGCATTGCTGAATCCAGTGAAAGTGGTGTCCTCTGTGAATGTCCAGTTAACTCCAGGAAAAGAGACTCTGTGCAGTCCTCTTTCTTTCACCTACAAGTACACACGTGGAGAGGAAGATGAGAAAGCGATGTCTGAGGATGACAGAAGTAAGGGTGAGGCAGCCACTAGTGAGCCAGTGTGTAAATCCACACTGTTCATTGCACCTTCATCCTCCAAAAAAGAAGTGCCCCAGACTGGGCCCAACAGGCTGAGTGAGGAGCCCAGTCCCACCAGGGTGCAGAGCTGCCTGCTGCACACGCCGGCACACATGTCCCAGTCTACCTGCTCCCTCCATTCTCTCCCTGCCGAGTGGCAGGACAGACCACTCTGCGAGCATCTGAGGACCATGAGCACCCACAGTGTCCCGAGCATCTCTGGCTCTTCCTTCAGTGGCTTCTTTTCCCCCTTCAACTGTCCCTTCTCTCCAAGGCATGCTCATCGACCTCATGCCATCAACCCACCCTCCACTGTGGAGATGCAGCTGCGCAGGGTCCTACACGACATCAGCAAGCTGCAAAACCTCTCACAGGTAAGAGGAAGACAATTTTTTACGTTGGGCAAAGGGGCTTCTCGTTTCATCCTTACAGAACAAAAAATGTTAATCTGAATATTCCTTGGTATAGTGCAACAGATCATGGAAAGAATGACAATTTGTGCAAGTTTGATTTGCTACTCTCTTAGTGGCAAATTATCATCTCTCCAATGATCCACTGTTTTTGCATTTAATTTTTTCTTGTTGCAGTTGACCCAGATTGATTTGTGAGTTTTAGGAGTTTTTTTAACTTTTATGGATGTTCTTGGCTGAGGGGTAAGAACAGGGTATTCTTTATCAGCTGTTATTGTAAGGAGATACTAATTAGCTCTAGATGTGAAAATACATACAGTTCTTTAACCTCTCTTGTATTTGGCAGCCTTCCCATCCAACTGATAGAAATTTATTTTTTTAATTTTAAGTCCTAGGGCTTCACTAATGATGTCAGTGATGATGTCTGCTCCATATACGTTTCTATGCTGTTTCATGCCAACCTTTTGCTTGTTCAGGTCTGGAGTTAGCCAACATGATCCTGAAGTCACCTGTCTTTTATTAAGAAATCAGTTCTGTCACAGTGTATGAAACTTTGTCCGTCTCATCACTCAGAGAAAAAATGCTTTAAAATGCAAGCACTTTTCTTCACCAGTTTCTTCCACAGTTTCTGCTCTTTTCGCCAGCTGTCCCTCCTCTGCCATCCCTGTACTGCTGTTCTGTTAGGTCATGATCCAACTTAAGAGCCTAGAAGCTGCTGCAGGAGCCTACGTTGGCAGAGCAGAGTTTGCTTTTTTATAAATGTGTACATGAGCAGTATTCAGTTATAGAGAGAGCTTCAACAGTTTCTGTGGGTTTAACCCAAGAACAAACGTGTGCCTGCCTGTGCCATGTTGCAGGTGGTTGGCTCTAGTGGTATTTTTTAGACTCCAGTTTTGTTTTATTTTATCACATGTCACAAGTAGGAGGCTGATCCAGCTTGAATTTGGTTATTCAACTTGCTTCTCAGAGTGAGCTTGGGCAGTGGGACACAGCTCTGCAGTGGAAAGCTGCAATCAGCTGTGTTTTATGTCAGCCATTGCTCAGTGGATGGCATGCCTAGGTGTAAGTGTTGGCAGAATTTACCCTTATGTGTAAAATTTCTTCTTGGGGACCAATTGCAGCCTTGATATGTGTAAGGTTACAGTGTACAACAGCCCTTTTATCACTTACACCATGCTAACTAAACCTGCTGAAGAACTCTGTATTACATCCAGACTTCATGGTCAAGATGGTTCAATTAAAAAAACAAAACTGGTATTGGAGGGAACAATAACATCTCCTACCCTACTTGTTCTACTTGCAGTGTACTTTTTCTAGACAAGTTCCATTCTGGGGGTTTGGTCCTTCTCAGTATAGAAGTCTGTATGAAAGTATCTTGCTTACAGTACACAGCTGCTTCCTAGTGCTGCTCTTCTCCTTTTTCCTACAGCCAAGGTCAAGTTTGGCATGCTGCTAAAGAAAAAGTTGAGGTGTTTCGTATACATGGTTCTAATTTTAGGAGGGAATAAAAAGCAGTAGTTAAATTCCTGATAGAACAGCAAAGAGAAAACTGGGAGAGGAAAAAAGAAAACATCTTGGTGTGATCGTGTTTGAGCAAAGATCCTCTGGATGAATGGACATGCTTCAAATTTTCCATGGCATGTCAATAGGCCTTTGAATTCTTTCAAAATTATATTGGACAAGCTGTCTGTTCCACGTTTTAAGAGGTGAATGTTTTGCTGTTTCCACTGTTCTTTGTTGTGCCATGTCTCCACATGTAATAACTGCTGAGTTTTATCTCGTTGCTGCGTGTGTTGATGCAACATGCAAATCGAAATTCTTCAGTGCTCATTTTGTGAGAGATCATTAGCACGCAGGGGTCTTTGACTGTTGGCAAAGTAGTGAGATTGAAAATGAAAATCAACAAAAAATCCAAGCTAAGAACTGAGCAAAGCCCCACAACAAATGTCACTTTAACCATTATTTGAAAATGAGACACTGTTTAATTTGCTTAGGTCTGTTTTCCAAGTTGTTCTTTTTGTCATTAGCTAAGACAGTTGAGACTACTGAGTGTTCAGGCATTAATTGTCTGGTGGCTAAAACTTTGCTTTTATTCCTACTTACTGTATCAGACAGCATTCATTTGTTTTTTCACCTGTAGCACTTTTGCATTGCAAGGCTTTGGTGCATGTGCTTCAGTTAAGAGCTGTCACTGCCATTTGGTAAGGTTTCCTTTTCCTCTTCCAAAATGTACGTAGACTGCAGAAATCACAATGTCAGCAAGGTTGTGTTTTTAACAGTGGCTGCATTTGGAATATATGTGCATTTGAGATGAGTTCATAAAGGGGATTGCTGACATTCCCATTTAAATTTGTCTCTTCCCTAGTACCCGGTGATGAGGGATCAAGATCTTTCAGTGGCCACCAGTTACACTACTCAGAGATCATCCATTCTACCTCTCTATGAAGTAAGTGACCCTGTTCACAAAGTAGTTCTTAGTCAAAATAAAATACAAAGAAGCATCCTAGAGGTGCCATAGAGTGTGCTAACTTTTGGCAGTTCCCTTTCTTTGCTCTTAGGAGATAGCAGATGACTCCATCTTGCAAGCTTGTTAAAAAGGATTTAATCTAAATACATGGAGATACTTTCATGTGTTTCTTGTATGATACACCTGAAAATAATTTTTTCTTGAGTTACTGCAAGTTCACATCTTGCAGCCTCTGTAGAAAAATGAAGTTGCTGACATTCTGCTTGACTCAAAGGGCACATCTGGACAAATGTGATTATAGGATCCACACTTACTTTAATTCAGTTATTTCATGTAATGCTTTTTTTTTTTTTTTTCTTTTTAGAATACTTTCCAGGAGCTACAAGTGGTAAGGAGAAATCTAAACTTATTTAGAACCCAAATGATGGATTTGGAATTGACTATGTTACATCAACAGAAAACAGTTTATCAGCATATGACAGAAGAGGAGAGGTAAAGTGATCTTTTTTTTTAAAAGGGAGATAATAGTCTGGAAATGCTTCAGGAAATGTGTTGCTGCCCCCAAACATCAGATCAAAAAATCTAATAGTTTCAATTTGAACAGGGTTGGAGCTGAGTTTTTGCCAAAAACTGACTTACTCTCTTTATACTTCTTCATTCTAGAGTCTTTTCTCCTTCGTGTCTTCTAATCTTTATTTTTATTGATTATATTTTTTCTTAATCTTTTTTCTGAAGTGATTTACCGCTGTGGATTTTAAGGATTTTCATCGTAGGATATTTGAATGCAGGATACTTGGGGGGGAAAAAAATCTGAAAGATTTTCAGCTTCTTTTTTTTTTCCTCAGTCTTTGTAGATGCAAATAAAAAATGAATGTTGTAGCATTTAGATGCTTTTCCAACTTACAGTGGCCACTCAGTAGGCTACAGATGCCATTCATGGCTCTGTATGTTTGTGTTCACCATGAGATGCAGCAGCAGCTGATCTTGAACAATTTTTGATACTGCTTATGTATTTAATTTAGTTTAGTCAGCTCTTGTCTAACCACTTTACAAGTAAGCATGTTAGAAATCAGTTGGCCTTCTTAGACAATGGCACCCTGGCCAAGGTGTATCTGCAACCACTTGGGAATCTAGAACCATGCAGAGAAGCAATGCATAATTTCTGTGTGTTGCTCTATGATTTTTGTTGTTACTGGTTTTAATTTGGATTTTATTAGATATATGTATAAATGCTGATTTCCTCTGCTTGCATATATTTAAACATTTAAAGCTAAAATTTTTTGAGAACGTTCCGTGATACACCATGTTGTTTAGTTTTCTCTATGAAGTGATACATATTTTCTATAAATGGAGACAGACTTACTCTGTCTAGGAGTTCAGCTAATTTTTCCATGAAAGAGGAATTTTCTGTATTCCACTTTGAATTCCTTTTCATGGAGTCCTTTACTCATGGAGCTGTGCTGTTCAGTTCCCCCTTTGTGTGTGCAGCTGAGTGCAATGAATGCCTTGCCTTGTTCTCTTTGCAATGGACTTTCTATAGATACGAGGCTGATCAGCTGCAGAGCTTGAGAAAGTCTGTCCGCATGGAGCTGCAGGAGTTAGAGATGCAGTTAGAAGAACGTCTGCTTGCTTTGGAAGATCAGCTGAGATGTCTGCATATGTCTTCACCTTACAGACCTCAAACACACATAGTAAGTATTACTTTTGCAGCAACATTGTGTGTTTTCTCAGTGTAATGTCAGTAACTCATAACTTAAAACTCTTACAATGGGATGGTACCTGGGGAATATAATGATACTATGTGTATTATCAGGGGTCATGTTTTACTGTTTTCAGTCAGTATTTTCATCTTGGGGAAAAAGTACGTGAATCCTTGGTGTTAGTAGGTACCAATACATATATTCTGGGATTTTAGATCTGAGATTTCAGAGCTAAAGCTTTCAGATTTCTTCTATCAGTGCTTTCTTCTTTTTCCTCTTCATCACCCTGAAATCACACAGGTTTGGTAGGTAGTGCTCATGTCTTAAATTGTAGGGGAAGGGGCATGGTCTTTCTTGAGCTTCCCAGCACTGTTTTTTTTTCCTCTGAAATGCAAGCAGAAATGAGAAATACATAGTGTTTCTCTCCCAAGAAAGGGAAAGGGGCATGGTCTTTCTTGAGCTTCCCAGCACTGTTTTTTTTTCCTCTGAAATGCAAGCAGAAATGAGAAATACATAGTGTTTCTCTCCCAAGAAATGGAGTGTCCTTCCCCTCCACCTTTACCAATCTATGGAACAAAAATCCCAGGAAAATCCAGTTGTCATCTAATTTTTTTCCTCCATTGCCTTTTGTAGCTCCTTCAGATAAATGTATGGCTCCATGCCAAACAGTGAGAGAAGCTTTGCTCCCACAGACACTCCCAAGAAGCACAAGAGGGAGGATAAAAAAATACACTTGCATATGTTTATTTGTGGCGTGATGATATAGTTTCTCTCCTTTTCCACTCAGCAGTAGACTGTTCCTCTTTTTTTCTACTGCGACTCTGTCATCGGCCAAACAAGAAGCAGAGACAAAAAGTGTCTTATGTTCTTCCTGGGTTTCATTCCTCTTTCTTAGCCAATCATCGACTGTAGAAGCAGCACAAGCATAGGCCACATCTTCCTCTTCAGTATTTTGTCATGGGAAAAAAAAAAAATTAAACCCAAGAACAGGAAAATATGATATTACTGTCATCCCAAGCCAAACTTGCATTCTTTAAACCATATAAATATCTTTTTATTTGTAAATCCTTTTATAAAAGAGGGCTAGATTTAAAAATTACTGAAATAAACTTTCTCCAACCAGCTCTGCTTCCTGTTTCCAAGTTTCTGCATTTACAGAAAGTTGTCTGAGGCCTAGCATGTTTATCTATTAGCTGCTAACAGTGCTAAAAAAATCCTAGATGTATAAACTTGAGTTAATTTTTCAGGGTATGTATGGAAGCAGAAGTGCTGACAACCTATCATGTCCCTCTCCATTGAATGTCATTGAACCAGTAAGTAATTGTTGTGTGTGGTCTTTTACTAAGAAAAAGAACCAGGAAGGGGTTTCCTTAAAAGGGTTGCAGGAGATGGATTTGACACATGATCTTGGAAGTACTGTACTCACTTGAGTAGTTCTGTTGAGAACAGCTGCATTCCTTTAAGCAAAGTTAACCATAGATTTAAGCAGCTATGAAGTAGGGTTTTTTTAACAGGAATATTTAGAGGTGAGGTGGTGTTTGCATTTACTTGGTACAATGACTGGTGAGTTTTGCAGGAAAAATTATTTCTTATTTTTCTGTGCATTTTAAGCTAGGAGTCCTGAGTAAGCTCCTGAACTACTGAAAACAAATAGAAAAGAACAAAGTTGAATTGTTTTAGCAAAGAAAAACTCTGGCTCAGGCAGAATGCATCTGTATTGCAAAAGTCAGTGGCTTGGGGAACTGCCACAACTTGTATTTATGTTGGCTTTCAAAGAAGTCCATTCCTTTTTATTATCCTCTCTGTTGCAATCATAAAGGCAAAGTATATATTTATTTTATAGCTGTATTTGTTACATGGAGGGAATAAGTGATTGAATAAATAACAAGAAAGCATATTTGTGTGTGCATACTTTTGTGTTTGTGTGCTTTTTTAATATGCACATCGAGAGCTGTTTCTTTTCTGAATTCTTAGGTTTCTGAACTTATTCGAGAGCAGTCATTTCTGAAGGCTGAACTGGGTTTAGGACTGGGAGATCTTGGACTGGAAACTCACCCAGCAGAGGGTACTGAGTCCGTATTCTCCCATGGACACTCTGATTCCTCTTCAGTGTGTTCCGGTCACACAGGTAGAAAAGCTGGTGTTGGGTCTTCTGAACTAACAGGAAAGTCTAAGTGTCAAAGCAAGAAGCTATACCGAGCCTCTGTTGCCTTAACACCAACTCCCCCGGTGAGAGCAGGTGCTGGACAGCAGGTGGAAAGCTCTGAGGAGCTGGTGGACTCCAAGCTAGAGGTGGAGCACAAACTTGAAAAAGTCCCTCTCGTGCCTTCGGTTGATGAAATCCACAAAAGCGTGGAGCAGGAGGAGCTGCAGCAAGTCATACGGGAGGTGAGGAGGGAGGGGCTGAGATCTAAGATGTTTGAACAGTGTTCACTGAAACATAAAGACAGGATATCTGTAACTCTTGGCCGCTAGGATTTTCTCTTCCCTCTCAAGCCAAGGCTCCTTACTATTACTGTCCTGTTTCTAAAGGCTCAGAGATTCTTGCTAGATGGTAAAGCCATGGCTATATTCTTGTGCAAAGCAGCAGAAGTTTTTTTCAGCGATAGTGGCTGGCATATGGATCAGTACCTAGTCACTTCTATAAGCCTGGGTGAGAAAGAATTTGCCATCTCTACTACTGGGTTAAGTAGCAGTATTTTAGATTCCAAACTGAAAATTTCTGGCACATTTGCTGACTAAAATGCTAAGTTGGAGTTAATTTGATTGATGAAATACTGTTTCTGAAATGACTCTGTAGTAAATGTTAAAAATACTTTCCCAGTCCTTCTACTCCAAACCACTGAGTGCTGTAAGAGTGTAAGTGAAGCAAGCTGAAATCAGATGAGAAGTTATTTCAGACTTTTAAGGCTGATCTTAGACTGATGCTGTTGGACAAGTTTTATTGGCAGTCAGTGGAAGTGAAAGGTGCTGGGTTGTTTTTCCTGTGGGTCAGGTTTAAAAGCAGGACTGAAACTGAACATTTCGCTTGTCGGGCATGACAGAACAGAAAGCCTTATGGCAAGTATTACAAGTGGGAAAAGGAAGCAAAATAAACTTGTTCTCAGAAGCAGTGCCTGTGAGAAAGTGTAGTGAGCTGTCTGCAGTGAGTACTCAGCAGAGCAGGGTTGAGAACCTTTGGGCTTTCTTCCCTCTCCACTGTAGAAGGACCACTTAGCCATTAGCTGGGGATGACTGTCTCTTAGCCTGTAGCTCATCCTTTGAAGCTTTGGTATGGCTCTGCTGTCAACCCCCTTGAAGGGTCAGAAGAGGTGTCAGGCTCAGGAATGTATAGCAGGCCAGGCTGTAAAGCTGTGGTACCATCTGGGTCTGCTTGCTTTGAGGCCGTGAACAACTGAAACCAGCTTTGCCTTAGCTTTGTTTTTAGAACAGATAAGGGGCAGGCCACTCATCTTATGATAAAACATCAGCTGTGATTCCAGAGAGATATGTTGTGACACCTTCACCTCTCTTCTCTCAGTGCAGAAAGAGGCTGAGTGTACTGGACCATAAGGTATCCTTCTACTTGTCTGACCACAAGACTCTGTTGTGTCTGCCTCTTCAATGCAGAGATACTTTCTAGACTGACTCACTGTGGGCTTTGCTATGCACTTTACCACAGTTAGATTTGTGAAGCAGTAGACCGTTTCTAAGGAGTGTTCTGATAGAATATGGTGGCTGGAAGCATATGAAGATATTTACTTTGTTTAGCTTTGGTTAACTAAATAGCCAGGACTGATAGTGCAGAGAATAATGTGTAGCCCTGAGCAATAACAGTGAGTGAACTGCTGGTGTTGGAAGAGGATGTAGTTGTAGGCATTGCTGATACTTACAGTGGAGCTTGTGATGTAGTAACTTTACACATCTACTTTGAAAGCAAAGGAATGAATAAGGCACAGTGGGAAGCATTCAGTTTTTAAATGTCTCTTCCCCCTGCCACCCTCCTGCTGCCATCTTCTCTAAAGTAGTCAGAGTAAATTTGGAAGGAGTCTTGGGAACGGCCTTGGTTTGGATATGTTATAAAGTACTTCCATACATCTGAAATTCTCTTTCTGCTCCTTCTTTTTCCCTTCTATCCCTTTTAAAGGTGTTCCTTGCCTACTGCTTAGAGAAGACTTGCACATGAGATACTTAGCTTGCCTTGCACTTTGCTACCAATTCTGAAGCGAAGCCAGGATATTGAATCTGTATCGTGTCTAGCCTTTTTGCAAAACCCTGTGTGTCAGAGAAATGGTGTCATGGTGAGGGGTTTCTAAAGGAGAAACTGAGAAGGGAAGGCAAGAGCTGTAATTCAAATGTGCTACAAAAGCAGCTGAAACAATAAAGGGAGATGGAGTCAAAGTAATGAGTTATTTCAGTCAATATTTTCTCTGAGGTTAGCCTGCATGAAAGTTCCTCTTTAACCTCATTAATTGACAGCAAATAAAAATGTGAATTCTTTGCACAGAGATTGTTCTCTGTGTTGTGTGGCACTGAGGACACTGTAATGCAGAAAGAATCCACACTGAACTGAGGGGCTGCTATTCAAAGATGAGTAGTCAGCAAATAGCTGAGCTTGACTCACTTTGTAAATGTTTGAGCACACAGAGAGATTGTCCCTCAGTTTATCTTCATTACCAGCCTGTTTCAGATCAGCTCTGATTCTCAGCTTGAGAAGTTTTGCAGGTCAGAATGAAGATGCATTGGCTCAAAGCACGTGGTAGTTTTTGCAGAGCCAGGATATACTATCATGTACTGATCAGGAAACTTCTTTTGTATTTCATAAGAGCTAAACCAGAGCATAAATTGAAATGTCTCTTCTTTAAGAAGTCCTGTTTTTAACAAAGGCATTGCAGTTTCGTTGTCAAAAGAAGGAAATCTGGTAGGATGCATTCTTGATGCGTGCACTCATAAATGTTAAACCCTTACTTATTCCTCCCATTCTCGGTAGCTGTGTGACCTAATGTTGGGGAAAGAAAGGCAGTGTTTCAGAATATGCCTGGGTAGGCTGTAATGCATGTGAGCTTTGACTTGCAACTATTTGCTGGCATGAAAAAAACCCGTGGTGTTAACTTTTATCTTTAATGGACTAACTCCCACAGAAAAGCATTCAACAATGTGAAATGTTAAAACACCAAACAGTAGTTCTCTTATTTTGATGAAAATAGATCCTGACCTCCACTGCAGTATCACATGAAGCACTTAGTGCTTGACTTGTAGGTCACAGTGTTGCTAGGAGTGCCACCAGGCCCCCTCATTCTGCTCTTCTGCAATTTAAAAGCAGCAATAGTTAAAAAGCTTTCAGCTTAAGAGCAGTGCAAGTTTTGTTTTTGCTAACCTTGCTCCATTGTAAATTACATTTAATGAAGTTATACTTTAAATAAATGTACGATTTTTCTGGCAACATCAGTTTTAAGATGCTGTAATGGGTCTTCATGGGACAGAGATAAAGTTGTATGGAGAATCTTCCCTTTTCTGTTTTCCATTCAAATCCTTGTTAGCTCAGAATCGATCAAAAATGTCTGCTGATTGTTCACCCTTCCCTCGTGCAGGTGTTGGGTTTCTCATCTTGCTATCTTGAGCGTAAAAACTCATCAGCTGCTGCCATGAACACATGACAGAAGAAAACAGAGTAGAAAAAAGAATATTTTCCATATATAAAACATACCTCAGATTAGGAGTACGAGGACTGTGAAAGCCTCACTCCCATTTTCCTCAGTAGCTGGAGAACAATTGCCACTGTGACACATTGCACTGTCAGTTCGTTACTTAGCAGCAACATAATACTGCAGTAATGGTAATTCTTTCAGAGGGAGAAAGATCACTGGTTTACCACAGTAAAACTGTACTGTATTAATAATGCAATATTGAATAGTAGTGTTGTATCAATATAGTATATATACCAGAAATGAGTAGGTTCTCTCCTGTATCAAATGATCAATTTTTCATTAAACTGCTAAAAATACCAGCGTAGCCTTCATTGACTGCATCTGTCTTTCATACGGCAGAAGCTTGGCAGGCACCTGTGCCCTCTGCAGAGCAAATGGAAGGTGCACTTGCCCTTAATTGTTTGTAATGAAAAAGACAAACATTAGCAATTGTCTTGACACACGCATGGGAATGAGTCACTGTGGGTATCGATGCTGTGCTCACCACACAGGAGTGACCTTGAAAGTCTGGAAAGGTCAGGGGAAGCAGTGGCAGTGAAAAGAAGCAGCAGAGGGTGGCCTTGTCACCAGGATGAGAAGGTGAGAGGCAGAGGGATCCAGCATGATCCATGAAGGTAAAGTCAGAAGCTGTTGGAAGAGCTAAGAATAGAACAGGAGCCATTTCCCTTCCAGTCTCCGCCTTGCCACAAGCCTGTCATACTAGACCATTTACTTGCTAGTTTAGAAAGCTTTTATCAGTTTTCTTTGGGAAGGAGGTTTATTTTTGCCTATCTGGTGAGGGAAAGGCAGAGAATGACTGTATGCTATAAGCAAACTTGCAGGCCTACCCATGTGATACTGGTGAAGGAGAGTGAAGAGAGCAGCATGGGGCTGTCTTACGGCAGTGGCCAGCCTGGCAGCCCAAGTGCTGCTTCCCTGTGCCAGTTTCTAAATCCCAAAGACCTCACTGCATTGACAGTGAGCCTAAAGTTTTGTATCTCTCTGTGTACTTCAGCACAGACATGCTCAGGACCTGTGGTCATCGGTAAGCCAGGTCCTGTTACACACTGGCTTTTCTTCTGGCTGTTAATCTGCAAACAACTCAACTGGAAACATGTTTCCCAATAACATTATAGTCTGTGAATTTCTGCTTGTTGCAAAGTAGTAATGAAACAAGGAGCCTTGTTGCTAATGTTTTAGGGATTGAATTGCTTGCCAGTGAGAACAAGGGATAAATAACCTGTTGCTAATACCGCTGCCACCCTTCTGACGTTGTTGCTTAATCTTTTTGACGCACCAGGAAAAGGGGAGACTTAAGGAATAATTGCAAAATGACCCTCAAGATGATGAGAGGGCTGCGCAAATGTGGCAAGGCTGTTGGGAAGGCTGGGTTTGGATAAATATTCCTGTGGTATTTGGTGGGGCATCAGAACATGAAGGGATTTGTTACTGGCGAATTCATTACAGGCACTTGAAAGCTACTTTGGATTGTCACTAGGAACCATATTTTCTTTAGTCTAAAATCAGGTATTTGTGCCAGGAAAGAAAATGGTATTGTTTAGTTGGGCTGATGAGTGCATCTGTGAGTGACCTGGGTGGCTGGGCTGTGGCTCTTACCCCCTTGCACCCTCTCACCATCATCCTCCTCCTCTGTCCTTGGAACTGTATCTGACTTGTTTGTGCTTTCCCAAGTGAAGATAATTCAAAAAATGAGATGCCAAAGATTTTTTGTACTTGCATGCAGCCCATATTGTTTTCCTTTGTCATACGCTGCTCCTTCCCAGCATAGTATGCTGTTGCAGAATTGAGTTTTGACTCCCTTTCTCTTTTTCCTTTACTGTAGTTATCAATGCTCTGTTCTTTCTTTGTTCTAGCCTCAGCCCCACTGAGGTGCCTGCTAGTAGTAATTCCTGGGTTTGTTTTATGTGAAACTTAATGGGTAAATGCTTTATCACAATCCTGTGAAAAGCAGTCTTTGCTGGCATAGATCATATCCTAGGGGCCAACTGATGATGTGAGCAACAGATAAGTTCCCTTGATGCTGAAAGTATGTAATTAGGATTAGTTTCCTTCTGATTTGTATGAAAACAGCAGCTCATGTTCATAGACTTGGACCTTTCCTACTGCATAATCCATTTGTGAGGCAAATTGGTTCTACCACCCTTTCAACAGATAATGACTAATTTAAAAAAACAGTTAATTTGGGGTACCTTTGATTCATACATCCTGAAATGCCATTTTCAGAACTTCAGCATAATTTAAATGTATTTTTTCTTAACATAGAAACAGTATTCCTAAGTATAAAAGAGGGATTTATTTACCATCTGGAAAAATAAAACTACTTTGTTTTACATTTATGTGATTTGCGAGAATGCTAAAATTACTTACAGTTATTTTTCCAAGAGAAACTCTCTTATATTTCTTCATGTGCATTTTTTTGGAAGTTGACTTTTTGGTATTGTATCAATAATGTCAAATGTATCTGCAATTTCATTTAGTTTTATCCATTAGTTATATAACTTACTGACCTTCAAACTTTGGCTAATCCTTTCCAGATCAAGGAATCTATTGTTGGTGAAATAAGACGAGAAATAGTAAGTGGATTGTTAGCAGCTGTGTCTCCCCAAAGCAGATCTGCAACTGCAAAACAAGATACACAGCCATGAAACAGGTACTACAGGTAATCTTTGGCAAACTGCCACAACCAGATTTGATTCTTTTGGTCGTATGAAGTATTGTTGTTAACTTAAACCTTTCTCTGTTTTTATTTTCCCCTTGAAGCATAAGTGATCAAAATTGAAGTTCTTTAAATACAATCAGTTTGGTTATAGTTTGGCCCATTCTATCTATTGTCAGCTTTCATGCTTTTTTTAGTTTTGGTGGGCTCCATGATGCCTTTGCATGTGAATTTATCAAGTGAGAAGAGTTCTGTAGTTTGCCTGTCTTAGAATATTATGCACATTATCAAAATACATGCTTAAGTATACAAGCAGACTTCTGAAAATCTAATTTAGACATTTGTCTTGCTTTTTGTTTTCTGTAAGGTTGGATGTAGTCCGAAATGCTGTGGGATTCTGCTTTGGGTGGTGTGCACTGGCAAAAGCGTCAAGTTATTTTTGCTTCAGGAGGTGGTGAAGCTGCTGAGATAGGCTACTGTATTCGACGCTTGGTTCTATGATGTGTACCTTTCTTTGAGTTCATCTGTAAAGACTCAAGACACTTTAACTCATTCGTTAAACTTTCCTTAAAGCATCAACAAAACTGTGGCTCTCTGAAAGTTTTTGTATTTATTTGTATGTCCCTGTTGTAAATTTTTATGTAACTAATTTCTTTGTTTAATGATGCATCATGAAACTTGAAGATTTCCAGATGTAACCGATTTATAAATAGCACACACGTTCAGCCTAGCTTTTTTTTTAAAAAAACAAAAAAACAAAAACCCCCTCTTCCCCCCAATGCCCTTCTCGCCCTTTCCCCCCTCGGCCCTTTTCGCCCTTTCCCCCCTCGGCCCTTTTCGCCCTTTCTCTTTTTGGAGTAGCCAAGCATCAAGCCAGAGGCTGAAAACCTAGAAGGGGAGTTATCTCATCTGTCCAAAGTATTAATGTTTTAAAAATCACAGGCCTGTAGGGTTGCCCCTAGAATTTCAGGGCCTGGTGGAAATCCACTCCTCATCCATTTTTGTCACGTGCTCCATGTCCCTTGATCCTGAGAGCAAAGTGAGGTGGAAGAATTTCATCTCTATGATGTGTACCTTTCTTTGAGTTCATCTGTAAAGACTCAAGACACTTTAACTCATTCGTTAAACTTTCCTTAAAGCATCAACAAAACTGTGGCTCTCTGAAAGTTTTTGTATTTATTTGTATGTCCCTGTTGTAAATTTTTATGTAACTAATTTCTTTGTTTAATGATGCATCATGAAACTTGAAGATTTCCAGATGTAACCGATTTATAAATAGCACACACGTTCAGCCTAGCTTTTTTTTAAAAAAACAAAAACACAACAAACCCCCTCTCCCCCCAAACACTGACCTCTATGAGGTATTTATTGTGCAATAACTGATCCACTTTAAGAGCTTGAAACAACCAATAATGTTTTCCACTGCTGTTACTTAGTGCCACTTCAAAAGAAGGAAAAAATCCTGATGTAAAAATTGCTGTTAATTCTTGGGGCGGTTACTATTATCAGTGGTAGAATGACGTGAGGTTACTTAAAACTACTTAAAGTTCTGACACTGAAAGCCTTATCTTTGTGTAGAAGATGAACTTCTAACTAATTTTATCTGTTTCCTTACTGTTTGCCCATCCCTCTATAGAAAAATGCCTTATTTTAAGAACTATTTTTTTGTCTTTGTGTTGACTTCTCTCAGTCATACCCAGAGAAGTTCTCTTCTGCTTCATATTAACCAAAATGCAACAAAAGTTCTGATCTTCTGAAGGCTGTTAGGATGTGCAATTTGGAACAGATGAATGACCTTGCCTGTGTTATGGGGAAAGTGGAAAAAATCTCTTTTCCTTCCCCATCCCTCAATGAGTGTATTTTCAGTTAGCCTGATGAACATGTGTTTGTTCCAGTGGAGCAACTTGGAAGTCATTGGAGGTTTATGTGGTCAAACAGACATTTAGTGGATATGTAATATCCTGTATTGCTGTGCTTGGAATCTCTGTACTCCTTTGCCATTTCTGTCTACTAAAACTCTTTACACTATGTCAAGGTCTTTAATCAAGAATAGTTTCAAATATAACAATATTATTTGAAAAAGTTTATAAGATTTTAAATTGTGTTAGCAAGACACACAAGGTCTGATCTCTTTTTAAAAAGTCTTTATTAAACCAATAAAATATTTATTTTGCCTATAACCTGTGTCAGTGTTTTTCATTGTGTATGGTTTACACTTAAGCAAAATAAGTAATGTAGATTTGATCAAATAGTACCCCAAATGGAGAGCAACAGGAAGGCTCAGGGCATGGGTTTCCAAAAGCTTTCAGTTGCTTAGGGGGTCTCTATATGCTTAGGAAATGTGAGATAGGATTTTGAGATAAATGTTTGCACTTAAAACAAAACTTTTAAAGTTGTTAGCTCCTGTTATGACTCCAAGAATTTGGTTGGTCTTGCCCTCTCCTTAGAGTATATCCCTGTGAGTAGAGCCAGAGATTTCATGGAAACCTCATCCTATGCATTTAAAAGTTGAAATACAAACTTGGCAATCTGTATGAGTTGGTAAGCTGCAGTAGGTTTCTGCTTTCCTTTGCAGCTTGCATGAGTACACAGTTCCATTCCAGAATGCCACTGTAGAGTAACCAGCCAGACCTGAGTGCCAACGACCTTCCTTCACAAATGTGCAAACCCCAGACCTACTCAATCACAGCATGAGCAGATGTTCCCCTTGTTCCCCAGCCGGGTTCATTAGTGTACTCAGCTGTTAAGGTAAGTCCTGTGCCCATGTACAACTCAAAAGTGTCATTCTAAGAATGGTGGCAACTGTGGCTCTCGTGGAGTGACAGAGGAAAGCAGTTCAGGAGTTGGCGGCTGCCGAGCAGCGGCATCCTTGGCGAGTGCTGCAGCCCCGCTCCTCACCCCTCGGGCCAGGAAAGTCTCTTGTAAGTAGTGTCCTGGGGTGTCTGGGCAGCTTCAGCTTGTTGGTTGCAAGAACGTTTGATCTTAACAAGATGGAGTTTAATATGTCCTGAGAAACGAAAAACAGTGCATATTTTTAATCCAGTTGATGAAAGGCAGATTTGTGAGGTTCTGGCATAATTTAAAAGAAAGACATTTCAACATGACCTTTTTAAAAACTGTACTGAGACTATTCAACATACAAGTACCTATTTTTCCATAATTCTTAGAGCAGATTTCTGCCATTCTTAAAGACACTTTCATCTAATATTTTGAGTGACAGTTATCTAGATAGAGTGGTGTCTATAAACTCCTGTTAAAAAAAAAAAGAAATTGTAGTGCCTTGCTGTCATATAAGGTAAGCTGAACTGGTATCGACCTCTATTGACAATTCTGCTTGTGCCTTAGGAACAGCTGTCATTATTATTGGACACATGCCTAACCTGGCTGGCTTGCCCTTTATTAATGTCAATTCAGCTGTAATGATTTTCTGAGCATGAACAGTTTTGCTCTTGTTTAATGACTGGAACTGTTACTTTCCTTACAAATTAATGGTGCCTCTTTTTTTTTTTTTTTTTTTCTGCCGGCCTGCAATTTGATTTTAATTCTGTGCAGATTAAAACAGCTTTATTAGAGGCTGATACCTCTGCTGAAACATGGAGTCATCTCAGCATTTGGCAGCTGGAGACAGTGATGGGAAGTGTGGGAGCAGCTCCCTGCACCACTTGGGCTGGTGCTGTGCTGCCCTGAGGTGCTGCTGCTTCCCCCAGCACCCTGCCTGGGAAACCTGAAAAGGAAAGGACCAAGGTTGGGAACAGATCCAGCTACGTAGCTGTGGTGAGTAAGCAGGAGAAGAGGCTCCTGCTGTTGGTAGTTTCTGCAGTGCTGTTTGGAGACAGGACTCAAGAGTGTCACTGCCCTTACTGAAAGAACTGAGGCTCTTGAAGCTCTTCAAGGCACTTCTGCTGACCATGATCTTCACAGAGGGAAGGCTGCCCTTATCTTCTGCTTTCTCCAAAATAGTGTGGTGTGTAAGCCCTTGGCAGCCTGCTTGTAAAGGCAAGTGATGCCCAGGATGCTCCAATCTGTGCATTTCCTAAGGACTGGTGTGTGCTCTCATTGCTGTCTCTTTTCAGGGGAGAATTTAAAGCCTTGTTGATACACTCCAGCCACTGATGGTCCCCAGTATTTCTCTACTGAGTCCTGAAAGGCAGGATTTTCTGTACTGTTGAGTAAATGGCTTACACTTGAAATACAGCATAGGTCAGAAAATCTTAATTGAGTTATACCACAGAGGAATTTGTTGTAATGATACTTGCCACAGGAACATAATAGTTAGGGAGAACGGAAGAGTCTAATTTGGAAACTGGAGTAATTCAAGCCATGACCAGCAGTGTAAAACAAAATCATGCCTAAACTAGTGGAAAAAATTCACTTTCTTTTGAGTTAATATGATGATGTCAAAATAATACATTATTTAATTTTCAGGAAAAACAAGAAACTCATTATTTTGGCATAGCGCAAATTTACTTTGCTTCATGTATGATTTTACACGTGATAGTGATCCTTTTTATTCATGCCATAGAATAAAAATGCACACTTTTGTTATAACAAAAGTTGTAACAATAACAGACAAGACAACTGAAAAAAACCAAAACAAACAAAAAACAGAATCACTTGGTAATTTCAAATAGCTTGTATATAAAGCAATTCTGCATAGTTGCTTGCTGAGTGATGGTGAATATTATATACAGAAATATCTTTCTCCTTTTTTGACAGAGCAAAAGGGGAAAGTCTGGACAACTGTTAAGTAATTAAATGGTGGCACTGGGAAGGCAGCATGATGAAAATCAAGACTTGCCTCAGTGAGGGAGTAGCTGTTCTGCTTGTCCCGAAACTTTGGTACAGATATCTGCTTCTACAGGTATTTCTAAATTAGCCATGTTTTGTGTAATATTGTAGAGTTTCCCATTTTTTAGTGTCCTGTTTCGTACGGGTTATTTGCTACAGCATATTAGGGAGGTTTATCGTATGTATGTGATTTTAGCACCTTAAAGCAATGCCTGGTAGAGAGCCCTGAGAGGAAAACCTCTCCATGAACAGGCATGGTGTGCATAGCAAAGACCACATCCAGCATTCATGACCAACACCAAGAGGTGTGAAACTGATGCCTCTTTATGGACAAAAGCAGTGAAAAAAAAAAGTGTCAGTTTGTTAGGAAAGGGCAGATGGAAGGGGCATGCCGAAGTCCCCTTTAGCTATAGCAGAAAGCTGGTGAGCAGCAGCTGGAAAGCCATGTGCTCTGCAGCATTTCTTCCCCTGATGATGCTAAAGCTGCCCAGCAGTAAACTGAGGAGATACTGGCATGGCAAGAGGCCCCAGCTGAGAACCCAAGAAAAGCACAAATCAACACATCTTTGCAAAGGTTCTTGCATATCTGTGGCTACAATGAAGATTAAAATTTCCTAAGACACGCTGGAAGGAGTGCCACTTCCGAGCTGAGTCTTTGCTCTATGAAGGCAGCCTGGTGGATCAGGGAGCTGTGACTGAATTCTTCCCTGCATCTGCCCTAGTGAAATTAGAAACCAAAGCCTTAAGTAGGTTGGCTTCACAAGCAGCTCCAGCTCTCTCTCCTCCCCTCATCAGGCTGATGCTGCAGTAGTCCCTGACCACAGCAGAGAAGCTGAGGCCAATCCACAGCCACAACAGAAATTGTGTAAGGAGTATGCAGGACAGAGAGCCTTGGATTCCTTTCCCAGCAGCCCCTGTCTTCGCTGGGGAAAAAACCGAACAACCAAAACTAAAACCCTCCCCTAACACAACAGGAAAAAATATCTCCAGCAGGAACTGCTGTGAGTACTCCTATTGCTTGTCACTACACTAGGATATATTAAAAACCAAGTGCTTCATACCAGAACCTCCTGAATGACATAAGAAGGAAAGATCTTATTATTATTTTTTCTTCCATGATAGTTTTAGCTGAATCATGAAGGAATTTGAAACATTGTGGGGAGAGCACTAAAACCAGCAGATGAGCTAAAAGGATCTGGCAGCACTTAAATGCATTTCAGCTCTTCCCCAGACTATGATGCAGTCTGTAGAAAATGCAAACACACTTTGCCCAGAGACATCTAGTGCTGCAAATTAGGTGTAAGAGTGAGCTGATATAGTAATCCTGAAATGCTATATCTGAGTGTGCTCTGAAATATGCCTGTTACACTGTTTTAAAAATACTTTTATTGTTATAGTGCGTGTGAAGGTTGCTGGGCAGCCAGCTCCAAATAGGCACAGAGAGGAGAGCTGCAGAGGCAAGCACCTCCACATCACATCCTTGGTGGGCCTCTCTCTGAGGCATAACAGCCTATTTAAGATTTGTCCTTGTGTCTTATGCTGTACTTTTGTCTGGCTCCCTTCTGAGCCTGCCAAGAGGTGGCTTTCTTGGTTTGTTTCTTCATGTAATTGTTAAGCTTTTTTCTCAGATATCATTGCTGGTGAGGACTTTGAGATGTGATCCCTTTAGACAGTAGTGCCCAGCAGTCTAGGGCTGAAACACACCTCTGTAGTCCTTCGAGCATTTAATGTTTTCCTGCTTTTTCAGCATCTGAATGTGTTTTCCAACTGAGTTTATGATTAACAGAATAAATTTCAAGGTTTTTTAAAGCAAATTGTAGCTCCTGTAATACAGTAACATAAACTGTAATTGTTACAAATTTTAATACATTAGGTTTCGTATACAGCTGTAATAGATATTTTATGGCAAACAGTTTTCTTCATAGGTGAACCTGAAATTTAAAATATACTATTTCTTAATATATAATAGTAAAGCAGCTGGAAAACATTTTTCTCACTTTATCTAGGACCAAGAAAACAAAAATTATTTTATTTCAAGTATGAAAAGTTATCAGAGAAAAGCTAGAACTTCAGATCTCTGTGTATGTTCTCCCCTGCATGTATCCCTGTGTATATCTGCTATGTTGGAAGCTGTCATTGAAGTTAATGGTGTTCATGAAGGTCTGTTCATGAAGGACTTGTGAAAGTGGATAATTATACTGTCGTGAAAACAACTCTAATTGTCCTTAGTGAAGGCAGAGTATGCCTCTCTTACTTTAGTGTCTTACACTCAGTTGTACCAGCAGAACTGCTGAAAATGTGCTCTGACTCTGGCTGTGGAAATCCATAAAGCAAATTAAGATTTGTCTTTGTAGGAATAGCAAAAGCTTAAAAATTATCATGTGAGACACTGAGCATCACTGTTCTGTGTGTCTGTTTTGTTTGTTGTGGTAAATGAAACTGAGCATTTCACCTTAGCACTGAAAACATTCAGGATTTGTCAGGAGAGGGCAAAAAATAACCTGATCTTGGGCCCTGCTTTTAGCAGCAGGTGGGACCAGCTATCTCCAGAGGTCTCCTCCAAATGGAAGTCTTCTCTGATTCTACAATTCTAAGTTAATGCCACCTAAACTATCACAATAAATCTAACAGGAAAATTGCAAGCTACTAGCCATCAGCTGGAAACCACTATGGTACACAGTAGTTTGATTTGGATGAGGAGGGAAATTTCAGCCCTCACTGAAAGTTACTTTTGATTGTGGAGTCAACTGGGTCGTTAAATTTCATGGCATTTTCTCCTCCTGAGCTTTATCAGTTAATGAACCAACTAGCTAGTGTGCTTGCCTCTGTTCAGAAATACCCTGGTATTCCTGTAATGTGTTAACAGTTTTCATTTGTATAAATCAGAGATAAACAAATATTCCATCCCTGAGTTGTGGGTTTATTTTGCTGTATGGGGCCTGTGAACTGTTCTTAACCATGATTGCCCCTCCTTCCCCATCTCCTCCACTAGCACATGGGGGAAAATACTCAGTGACTGAATAAACACTATGTTCCACTTACCTAGGATGGGGTGAAATGCCCTTGGATGTGTCTGTCATGAGGGAACCCATGTAGCTGGCTTAAATGTGGGTATTCTCAATATCTGAAATCATGTGAGATGGAGCCCACCAGAAGAGATCACAGTCTAAATCTGCAAGCCCAGCCTAAGGTGCGAACCCATTTACCACACCGGGTAAGCTTCGTGAAGGTGTAGGCATCTGCATAGCATCATCATCCAAAATCCTGGAAGAGGTTTAGAAAATTGTTTGAAAGAGGAAAGGCAATTTTTTTTATGTGTGAGGAGAGCAGTTCTAGCACACTGTAACAGAGATGGAATCATTGCATCCACCCCTCCTGCTACCTCCTCCCCCAAAATCTGAAAACTTCCTGATTTGTGTTCATCAATAATTAAGAGCCCATCAGCAATACTCAGAGGGAGCTTGCATTGCACTTCTGAGCAGCCAGTTAGTAATGTACAGTGGAGAGATCCTGTTTTTCAAATCCCAGGGCTCCAGGCCATGCAATGCTAGTATTGCATTTTCAATTAGCTTCTGAGTGAATGCTTGGCATATGTAGAAGTGAACTGCTACACAATTAGCTTATTGTTCCTTTCAGCTTTGTGCTGAGAGGATCTGAAGGACTGCAAAGAGAGAGGAGAGAGAAAAAAAGAAAATAGCCAAGGCAGCGGCATCTCTGTGGATGTGGAATGAGGGAGTTGCTGGGCTCACGCAGCTCCCTGTGCTAAGTCGGGAGCTACAGCTGTTCCAGAGGAGTGCTCAGCCTGGGGTGGAGAGGGCACCCGGGAAGAGGCATAGACCCAGCCTCAGGCTCCAGGCTCTTCTCTCCTCTGACTCACCTCAGCATCACGATGGAGCCCAACAGCCCTAAAAAAATACAGTTTGCTGTGCCGCTGTTTCAGAGTCAAATAGATCCTGAAGCAGCTGAGCAGGTAAGGAAGATTAGTTTCTTTTCGTGTTGTGAGGGAATGGGGTAGGAATGTGGGTAGGATGTTGGTTGAGAATATGTAATACTTCTGGCGTAAATGCTTTTCTAACTTATATTAGTGTAAGTATAAATGAAATGCTCTGGAAGTTAGTAATGTTGGGATACATCCAAAGAAGGAGGATGATGTTCTCTAGCCACAATAAGGCTTTTTTACCTTGGGTAGTTTTATTCAGAAGGTATTTGTTGTGCCTTTTCTACAGCTGGAGTTGTACCCTAATACGTGCCCTTCACATGAGTACACACTCTTAATGGATTAATTAAAATATATTACTTGTACATAAAGCAAAACATGAAGCTGGTATTAGGTAACTAATGGAAATATTGTGCAGGAGACATCTTATTTACCATTCTTTTTAACAGGAGAAAATACAAGTTAAGTTTTGCACAAAAGTTGCCACTTCAATTACCTCCTATATATCTCAGAGTTTTTATACAGTCTTCTTTATGTCATTGTTATAGTGCTTTACACATTTGAACAATAGATACATGTAGAAATATGTTTGACTTTTGTCTGTGTTGTGTGTGTGCTCTTTTAGGTCTTTGACTTACTTCTGAAACATACACATACATCTAATATAGCAATAAGATGTGAGGAAGAAAATCTATCTTTTATTGTGTACAGATATGTGTAGATGTGAATAAAGAAGGACACCAATAATCTTAGGAGAAAAGATGGATAAAAAGTAATTAGGTGACCCAGTAGATTTTTCTCAGTGCAAGTCCTTTTCCACCTTTGTTTCTATTTTGGTAAGTCTGGTTTTAGATGATACCAGGGGAATATTATAACCTTGACAGTTCCATGCCATTAGCTACGGAATTATTCACACCTTTGGGATAGGTATCTGGTTTCCTGAATATTCTGATGTCGTGTCTTTTAAAAGGTAGCCACCTTTGTCAGAAAGTGATGAGTTGTAAGTGACCACTGAATGAAGAAATACTAGAAGGGTGCAGGGGAGAATTGCTGCAGGTCTTCATTTTGTCCATAGGTACTTCTGAGCTGCAATATGCCCATGCCTTATGGTACAGTCCTGCAATGAATACAAGCAGGATGTGTTCTGATATTTTTCTGAAATCTGTGAGAATGGATTAGGATTTCCCAGAATTCCCCTGGCTTTTGAAATGCTGTGGCCCACATTTATGGGCAATCCTTTTTTCAATGTTGAGAGTTTAATTCCAAGTGCTATACAGTTTCATTGTGGGTGTATGATGAAAGTAAAGTAGTAAATTTTCCTGTCAGCTGCAGTTATGTTAATCAGGAACAAATCCATTAACCCTGATGATGTAATTTTCCATTTACACCTCTGAAAGCAAAATTTGAACCCAGCTAAATACAGATGTTAGCTCAGCAACTAAAAAAGAGTGAAAGCACTCGCCTTGAAATTTTGTGTCAGAATGGTTTCTAGCTTAAGTACTCTTGTTCTCTCCTAAGTTCAACAGAATATCAATAGCCTGGAGGCTTTAGTGAAGCAACACAAAGCTTTCAATGCAAATGTGTGCATTATAGGAGGGTAGTCCAATATCACATAGTTCAGCCAGTGTTAATGGAACAAAAGTACTTAAATAAACTCTGAATAAGAATAATTGCTTATAATTCAGGATTATATATTGATATATAAAGATCTGTTTTGTAGTGTTCTTTGAAAATACTGTTTTGAAAGACTGAAGTATTGTTTTTCTTTAGTCAAAGTGCAGTAGTAACACCTCTGGCCTCAGTTCAGAAATACCTTAAATTCACTGGAAGACATACATGCAATAGCAACTCTCAAGCATGCTTACAAAATATTAACAATTACTTGTGAGAGCTGTGACAGGACTGGGTAGTTGCACACATGAGCTGCTGCAATAATTTTCCTGAAGCAATGCTAAACATCAGTATTTTAAGATATGACAGACACATCAGCAACACGTGTTCAAAAACTTACTCAGGATCATTGGAAAACCTCATGGTATTTTGGAAAGTTCTCTCCCATTCCTTGGCTTTCCATTTAGAAGGAGCAGCATGATCCTGATCATTGGCAGGTGAGCAGTCAGTAAGACTCTGACGTGCTGCTTTTAAAGTATTTTCTTCTTTTAGCTTTGCCTGGTGTATAATCAGGAGTGCACCAGATAGATTTTTTGCTTTGTTTTGGGTGTGGGGCAGTTGGAGGGCTCTAGTGACTCTCCTTGTTTTGTGAATGTTACAGATCAGGAAAAGAAGGCCAACACCAGCATCGCTTGTCATCATGAATGAACACGTGCCCCCAGGTAAGTGCCAACATACCTTCTAAACCACTAGAACCTGTATATACAGGATTGTCTGCAAATTGGTTTTTTTTAGCAATGGTATTTTAAAGATCCAGCATTAATTTCATAGCTCTTTGCATTATTTCCTTTCAACTGTGGCTACGTTATCTTCATCCAAGACTTCTCTCAGAAGATTTTCTGTGGGATGGAACAGTCTGAGCTTGCAACATGCTTTGTCACATAAATGTGACTTCAGAAAGACACTCTAATTAGCTGTTTAGGGAGTATCATAATCATAAAAGCTTGGCAAAAATGGATTGCAGGAAAAAGTCTTCGGACATAGTCCCTTTGAAACATACTACCTAGTTTATATAAAACTTTTCTTTTATGTAGTTCTTCACAATGTTTTTTTTCCTGCCTTAACTCTTCATCACCTGAGTCCTTTTTTAAAAGCAGTTCAGGCTTTTTCTCACTGATGTGTCTCAGGTCATTACTGTATGCATTGGCACCTCAGTAAAACAAAACTACCTCAGCTCTATTAGGATCACCATTAACATCACTGGTAGCTGAAGTTCCTCAGAACCTGCAGAAAGCAGCATTTAGAGACCCCTGCTCTCTTGGGATCATTGCAGCACCGCATACAGACTAGAGAGGTTCAAGCATTATATAATGGCTACAGTTATATTGTTGTGATGCAGAGTGACCCATAAATTTGCTGCAGATCTAACACCAATCCCAGTTTGGAGAGCAGCTTTCTGGCCTGAATTTCAGGCAGTTCAGCTCTTGGTAATGCTACAGGAAAAATCAGCCTTAGAGCAGCTTTCCCTCCCTTAATGGGATCTACAGTTTCT